CACTGACTTTGTAAAGGCTTGGGGCTGGCTTCTTATCCCATGCAGCTTGTGCATAACCCTTGCATTACAGGGAAAGTAGAAGATCCTTAAAGCCAGACACAGAATGCTGTTTGCTGAAACAAAGCTTTGGTTGCTTACACTAAGCCCAAGATGAAAAATCTCTGATTACCTGTTTTGTGCAGTTAAAGCATGGGAGAGGCTGCTTGTTTCTTTGTTTTACCTGTGAAGCTGTGTGATCCTGCATTTTTGGAGTACAGAGGAAATCCTGAGAGGCAGGTCAGGAAGGTGTCTTCTGCTTTAGGGGACCTGAGAATTGCTTTTATGGAGTCCTCCAACACAACCTGAGGCGCAGCAGTTAAGACCCTGATGCCAGGCAGTATGTGGCCCAAGCACATGGGTACATGAGCTTGGAGGACCATTTCTGGCTCTGACAGCATTCTTTTTCCTTTCAGTATAACATGCCATACTGAGTAGACTGATGCATGTGGTTTTCACAGAAAGGCATGATTTTGCAGGTCATCTAAAGAGAATGAAAGATTACACAGTGTAGGTTGAAAGGTGTTCCCATTGCCTGCAGTGCAGAGATCTGATCCAGTTCCTGCTGGGAGGCTCCTGGCAGGTACGGGCCCACAGCCAGATCCCCAGCTTACTGGCTCTGTCACTGTCTAGTTCGATGTTCAAGCAAGTCATTGACCTCTCTGCGCCTACATCTTTCCCTCTGTAAATGTTTATCAGCCTGAATTTGGATCAGGTAAACCCTGGTCCATATAGGAGAGCTGCTGCACTCCATGGGCATTGTGGGGACACCTGACATCCCTTCCATCTCTGGCACCACATTCACGCTCTCCTGATGATGGCTGGCTGGGTTGACTGTCATTTGGGTGACCTTGTTAAGATTTTATTGTCTTCCTTGTTGGCTTTCTCTCATCCTAGTCGGTGTCTCTGTTGCCACTAGTTCTCCTTGACTTTCCTCTTCCAGATTTCATCCTCATGGCACAGGGCATCCATATGCATGCTTCCAGGATCCAGTGGGGCCTGGTGATGTGCTTCCTGTGCTACTTCGGTACCTTTGCAGTGGAATTCAGGCACTACAGATTTGAGATCATTTGCTCTGAGTACCAGGAAAACTTTCTGAGCTTTTCTGGAAGTTTATCAGAAGCCTCTGAGTACCAGACAGATCAGGTGTAGCCTGTCCTCTGGCAGTGGGGGAGGGGGGCAGGTGTGGTCTTATGGGTTAAACATGACCTCATTTACACTTTTTTGATGAGTTTGTTTTCGTGTGCAGTCATGATCGTATTGCCAAAGGGTTCTGAGGGTGGGTGTATCATTAAGAGCCAAACAAAAATAGCTGTCTGCTGGAAGAGGAGTGGATCCTTCTCTGCAATAGCATGAGAGAACACAAGCTGTTTAGTTTGTGCTACCAGAGACTCTGAGTGGCTCTGTCACGCTCTTGTTCAAAACATTCAACAGCCAGTCCTTGTAAGGTCCCTCCAAGACAGGCACTCCTCAGCCTGCTCTGCAGAGGAGATGAAGGAAACGGACTTCTCCACCTAAAGTCTTCAGGAGTTGCCAGTTCCGGAGTCACCAGACTGCATCTTTTGTGTTTCTTGCATTGTTTTCTTTGCTGCCAACTGATGTAACTTAGCAGGGTGAGAAAGAACAGCTGTTTCTTCTGAACTTGGAATTGGGCAGTGGAAGACACCAACTGACTGGCTTTTATGGTGAGCAGGCAGGCATTTCTTCCAGCCTGGAAAGCAGCCAACAGTAAAGCTGTGTTTGGGAGAAACTGTGCTGTCATCAAGAAGCAAGACTTGGCCAATGTTGCCTTGTGGATGGACAGTCCGTCCCCAGGCCAGAGGAGATGGCACAGTGGGGTGCTGTGCTCGGCTTCGTGTTGCAGACTCAACAATGGGGACTGGTGGAAGTCAGGTGCTGAATTAAGATGGGAATGCCTGCGTGCTCTGAAGATGACCCAGAAAAGGCTGCTCTTTGTGTGTAGTGCTTCCACCACATATAATGTGTAATGTTTCAAAAGCTTTTTTTTGTTCACTGAGGGGGAAAACATTGTGTTAGAGACACTGGGTTCGCCTGCAATGGGAACAGAACCTTTGCAGGTGGTTCTGGGCATAGGGTTTGGTTTTGCTCTTTGTGTGCTTAGAAGTCAAATTTCAGACATGCTGACACTAGCCTGGGCTCTGGACCCCTCAGTGTGGCCAGTTGTCCCAAGTGGAGTCTGTCACAGGTTTAAGCAGGCTTCCAAGGTGCAGGGAAGCAGTTCTGCCCCGTAAGTTGGGTGATACGGCCTGAGGGATGGAAGTGCAGGAAGGGGAACAGCACAACCAGAAGGGCTTCTCGCTCCCTGAAGGGAGGTTTTCAGAGAGAACTGTTTTCAAAGAAAAAGCAGTTCAAAGCCCCTGTTTGAAAACCTGATTTTGGGAAGGCTGCTGTATTGGCTGGGCAGGGGAGTGATGGGAGTTGCTTCTCATGAACATGGCTCCTGTTTTCCTCCACGAATCAGGCTCAGCTTAGGTTTGCATCTTGTCTGAGCTGCAGGAAAATAAGCAGAAATGAAAATGGTGGCAAAAGCATTTTAAGGGCAACTCGTACTGTACTGTGGTGTTTCTGGCAGAGAGGGGAAAAGGCCTGAAGGCATTCAGTCTTCTGCAAAGGTCAGAGGCATCTCCTGAAATGAGAAACAGTTGAGAGAAACTTCTGTCAAAACTAGTGTAAGTAGAAAACTTTCAGCCAGTCCTTTATCTTCCAAAAGATTCCAAAATTTCTTGGGCAGCTGTGTTTATAAATCCAGAGCATCTCCAGCCAATGGAGGATTGTCGTTGGACTGCTGAAGGCCTCCTCCTTGTAGCTATGTCATGAGTGGGAAGCTTTTCTGGAGAGACATGCCGAGGGTGGCCCAAGGGCACAGCAGTGTAAGGCGCAGGGCTCCCTAGCAGCCCATCCAGCGAGCTCCTCCTGGGCGAGGGCAGGAGGGAACAGCCTGGAGAAGATGCAGGTAGGGATCCTCTTATACAGGCACACACACTCAATGCCTATGGAGCACAAAATAGCAATTTGTTTTAAGGGTATTTTACTGTAAATAGTCCACAGTGACTTTTTTTAAAAAAAAAAAAACTTTATCATTTTATATTCTGTAATTTTATCAAAGGAAAAAAGATGTTTGTAATTTTTTTCTTTCTCACCTTTTCCTATATGCAATCCAAACTGAACTGCAGGTTTTTGGTGATAACTCTGTACATTTCTTAGAGTATTTCTAACAGCACATTTCAGCACAACTAAATGACAACTGATATACACTGAAACATGACCACTAAATAAAGTGCTTTTATGGAGAAAGTGAGTTTTATTTTTGTCCCCTACCCCATGCATAGCTTTCTGATGGCAAAGGCAAAACAAAAGGCATTTACAGTGTCAGGATTAAAATTAACACTTAAGGAAGCCAGGGACTATTCAGCCATGCAGATACATTTATTGTAACAGTGCTAATTAGTAGGCTCTTTCTAGGAGGAGGATCACACTCATTACACAGCCCAGAAAGGCATCCAGACTAGCTGCCTCACAGCCTCACCTGCTACCATCAACGTCTTAGAAGGGCAATGCTAGCATGTGGTTTCCTCCAAAAATGCCTGTGTCTTGCTTTTCTCTACACAGCAGCCTCCCTCAACAGGGACAGCTGTAGGTGTAGATCAGAGCTCAGGAAGGCAATACGTGTGTTAGTATTCTATTTCGGCTGTCCGTGAGGGCAAGCTCAAGCGCAGCCATGCAGAAATGAGTAAGTAGCAAGTGACACCCATGCATGAAGTGCCAGCAGCAGGGAACTGGGGTTTCAGACTCTACCTCCACTATTACTAGGTATAACCTAGCTGTGGCTGTCACTCCTGTGCCCCTGCTGAGCCCCTACTGAAATTGTAAGATGGTCAGGGAGGTAATACAACTTTCTTGGTGGGATAGGGTTGTCTGCTTTAAAGAAAGGACCAGGGAGGGCAAAAGCAGGAAAACAAAGTGTTCACAGGTTTTAAAAAAAAAAAAAAAAATTAAAAAAAATTTGCCTTTAGGTGCTGGGATCACTAGTGATGGACAGGAAGGCCTAAATACTGGGATAAAGTGAACACAATGAAAGCAAAGCTCTGTTTTTATTTACTACATTAGGAAAAGCTCCATGACCATCTGATATAAATTGGCACAATTTAGGTAGGGTGGGTGAAAAGGGCAGGGCTTTAATTATTAAATGCAGCAGGATGTGTCCCTCAAGAGCAGTTGTTTGCCAAGGTTTGCTCACAGCTGACCAGTGCTATGAATGTGTGACAGGGTGATGTTGGCTGTTGAGAAGGGGCTCCATGTGTTAGTGCTAAGGGAGATACTTCAGAAACATGGTCAAGCTGACTTTGGTGTTCAGCCAGTTGGATCCCAAGCCCAGCACCATGATGCAGCAGTGAGGTGGGTCTAGAATTTAATTTGTAAAGCTATATTTATATATACATTTCATTCTGGTAGGCTGGCTGTGTAGCTCTAAGCAGCTTCCATATGCAAGTTCTATTGTTTTGTGCCTAGATCTGCTGTGGATATAGCCAAGATTTAAGTTGTTCCTTGTCTAAAGAGCTTGCCTGCAGCAAGGGCTGGCTTTTTCTGTGGCAGCCCATACCTACTGTATTGTAGCCCACAATTGGTATTTTCCTTTGGACATCCTAACCCCTATAACTTTGATAGTTTTTTGACTTAGCCAGCAACCCCACCAACAGGGAGAAGCTCATATCCCCTCTTGGTCCCTGGAGGTCCCTCTGGGACAGGGGGACATACACTTTGTTTGCAGACTCTAAAAATGATAGAGCTCATGGTGGGGCGTCTCAGCACTGGATTTCAATGGGTGAGTCTGAAGGAAGCATCCCCTGAGCTAATTTGCGAGCTGGGAAAGGGTAGGAACAGCAGGGCTCATGGGTGCTGCTTCTCACCCTGTTCCCAGCTCCGGCTGGATGCTGCAGGCCTCTTATTCTACCGCAGAAGGGACCCCACACCACATACTCTCCATCCATACCTGCCCGCGCTAGTTTGCAGGTCCAAGACATGATGTGGGTTTGGTTTTAAATTCTGATTATGGACAGTTACCTAATGTTACACAAGGACAATTCAGGTGAAGCACAGTCTTTTGTGCACTGCTTTCTCTAAGTGGAGGAAGGCAGGAAAAGTTCAGTGAAAGATGAGATGAGGCTGTAATACGACTTCTCATCATCTGTCAGTCCTGCGTTGCCTGGTCTGATCACCACAGCTACGTGAGTATCCGCTTCCTCAGCTGCGTTGGCTTCTGAAACAAACAGAGGTGGGGAGAGTGGAGATGAGATGTGCTTACCGACCTCTCCACGTGAGGGTCTTTAAGGCTTGAAGATGTCCCATAATGGTTGAGACAGAGAGCAGTGTTTGCACGTGGCGTTGAAGGGCTCCTGGCAGACCTGATGTGGATGACTGTAGCTGCCGCGTAATGCGAGTGGATGGGAGCTGGCTGCCTTGCCATCTCCTCCCCTCTCCCAGCTGATGGCTGTCCAAGGCACTGTGCAGCATGCACGAGCAGCTCAATTCCTTTCACAAAGAAGCTGGGCAGTGGTTGGGCTGTGGCCTTAGCAAGTGTGATGGCCCACACCAGGCATCACTTTTCACAAGGCCACAGAAAGATGATACAGGGAAAAGGAGGTAACTGCAAGCTCCCACCACCTCTGCTACCAGGGCTGGGGAGGAGGTAAGGGCTAACTCCTGGGGACTGAGCTGGCTTGGACTGAGATCACAACCCAGTGCCATTTCTGCCAGAAAGACATATCCAGCAAGGGGAGGAAATTAAACTAGCTTCCTGAGCCTGGCTTTTCAGGGGTCAAGTCTTTGCAACCAAAATGTTTTCTTGCTGCTGAACACAACCTAATGGTAAGTGGCACAAAGAACCAGCCACTTGCACGTGCCATGTAGCAGCACAGCAGACATTGCCCACTCCCCTGAGCACAGGTCATGAAAATCACTGACCCTGTTTGTAACTGGGGCATGCCAACTGCTTCAGCAAATGCTCCACTCCGCTTTAAGTCTCTCCTTGCTTGCTGGTGCAAGGGCAGGTTTTCTAGTTGACTTATTTTCCCTCACTGCAGCACTGTTTACAGATACTCCACTACTGTGTGAGAGTCTGGATGTGTATGGAAGGAGCATGGCAGCAGCTAGGGGATGCTACCGAAGTAAGACAGTCTGCAGCATTTCTGGGGTGCTTGTGACAAATCACCAGCATGCATTTAAAGAGCACCTGCCTCCCTCGCACAGGTCCTGCCAGCAGGACACCTACCTTGAGGGACATCGGTCAGGAAGAGGATGTTGTTGGTAGCGCACCCAATACTGGCGGCAATCCTTCTGTAGCTCTCGCTTTCTACCTTGGGGCCTATTTTGGTATCAAAGTGGCCATCAAAGAGCTGAAAGAGAGAGAAAAGCAAAGGCAGTTGCTGAGTGCCACCTCGAGAGCAGAGCTAAACCTCACTCCTTTCTGCCATGGTACTGGGGGGCCGACACAGCCATGCTCGCATACTCAACTGGCTGAGCTTAACTCCCACAGGTCAAACCCACTGCCCCACCTTCCTGTCCCAGACTCTATTCACGAAGCATTACGGCACGGGCAGTTGCGGGAGGGAAGCGCTCTGCAGAGCAAGAAGCTGTAAGGAAGGTGATAAGGTTATCTACCTCTAGGATATCACCTTCTGTAGAGTATCCAAACAGAAGCTTCTGGGCTTCAATGCTGCCTGAAGAGTAGATATAGACCTTCATCCCCGCTTCCCGCCACTTCCGGATGGCTGGAACCACGTCCTCGAAGATTCTGGAGCAAAACAGGACAGCAGGTAAGGGCAAACCCCGAGGCACTTGCTGGGACACCTTTAGCCAGGCACTCTGACAACTGTCCCATTAGTTGGCAAAGGGACGTCATTCTCAATCTGCTCAGGGCTTCTGCAGCTAGGGAGTCTATTTCAACAGCAGATGGTATACTCTTAGCTCCAGCCAACTGAGCAGCTCATTGACTGCTATGCAGACAGCAGCTCTGATGAGCTGTTTCAAACATTTAGCAGGAGTTTCTCCAACCCCTCCAACTTGGAGAGGGGAGCAGAGGTTGAGGCTCCGACTAACTGCCAGGTAGTAGCTGCCCAAAGACAAGCCCAGCAGCAGGGAGCAAAGCTGTGAGAGGGAAGGAGGACCAAAGCTAAGGCAACTGCTGCATAACTCCTAACAGACATGTCTGTTGGTTCCCTCATACCCTTCTCATTTATTTCATAAGACCTCTCCAGTGCTGCACTTAGATGTATGTAAAAGCTCTTTGTATGCAAAGGACATTTACAAGATGAGCGATGTACTGGGGGAAACTGAAGGCTAGAGGATGCTCAGGAGGGATGAAGTGAGGCTGACAAGAAGTCCCTCAATAACACGTGACAGTTGATAAGGAAAAGCCACAGCCTCAGAAGGGCAGGGAGGGTATTTGAGTTTGATACGGCAGAAGGATAAAGAGAGGAGCTGGAGGACATGTCATACCCTGGGAACCGAGTTTTCATCCCAGTCCAAATCACAGCCTTCCCACCTGCACTGCACAGCTCTGGGTGGCCACTTGGGCCAAGGCCCAAAGGTACTGCCCCAAAAAGGGGATCTGAGCACCTTAACACCTGAAGAAAGAGGACTCCAAATAAATGCAAAAGGAGGTGTTGGACTGAGTTTTGCAGACTTGTAGCAATCAGCTGGCCCCTTCATCTCCAGTTTCTTGGCCATCTGTTCAGGGCCTTGTTATGTTACGTATTTAAAAAATAAAAGTTCACTTTTTTTTCATAGTTATTAAATGTCTGTGGTGTCAGCTGAAAATATTTCGAGGTTGTACGGCACCTGCCGGAACTCTCAGCCAGTCTCATGTTTTCACATGCTGAGTTCAGTGCCTGGATTTCAGACACTGATGTGCCGGATACAGTTGGGCAAGGGGGAGGCTTTAGAGATCTCACTCCTTGGAAGCTGCCACGCAGCAAGGCTAGCTCCACAGGTTTTGGGCCACTGTCAGACAATTAGCCCTGTCTTGGAAAAGAAAACCAACAGGATGGCTGTCCCTCTTGACTTGCTTTTGGGTTTTGTTGCTTTCTCTGGCAGATATTCACATTTTCCTGTGAGCTCTTTTTCTTCTTCCTCATTCTTCCTTTGGCAAAACACGTTGTGAACTTAATGGTTTGTTTTACTTCCTTAGGAACTTGAAATGCATAGTTTAACCAAGTATCTCTTGACCTAAATAAGAAGATCAGGCTTAACTCCAGTTGTCCTCGCTTATGTACCCTTATGTTGTGGCTGAAACATAAAGAGGAGCCTGAAGACAAAAAGAAGTGGAAAGGCAGGAGGAAACAACTGAAAGGACCTGACCCTGCAACCCTGGCTTGTTTAGGCTTGTTCCAAAACATGAGTGCAATTCAGGGATAAAAAAATGCAAGACAGAGAAGTGTAAGAGGTTCATACTTGTGCTTCAGTCTTTTGGTTTACCAAGAAATTTCTGTAGAGAAATATTGAGACATTTTCTGAATTTTTAATGCAGAAGATAGTTGTCCCAGATGAATGTTCTGCCAGTAACGGGAGCACAAGCACCCTGTGTCACACCTCCGTTACCTTGTTCTGTTTCTCAGACCTTGTCTCCTTTACAGACCCTACCCTGGTGGCTGGAGAACTGGCTGTTCTCCAGCATGTACCTGTCAATTATTCCTTAAGGAGAAACACCCTCACTCGTCATCTTCCCAGTGGGGACTGAGACAACTTGGTCAATCCCAAGGTTACTGTAAGCTTTTGGTTCCCTAGATCCAAAGATTAAGCTCAATGGATTTGTGTTTCACTGCATGATCAAGTTTGAAATGAAGTGTTTGCAGTTGGTTCCATGACAGCAGTGGCCTGGCTTAAGCCACAACTGAACATAAATGTATTGGCTTCTCCACCAAGGTAGTAATCCTATTTGCATTTGTATGTGGGGCTGTTTCCAGGAATACCTTATGAAGCTATTCTGCTAAGAGACATCTAGGAAAGATGTACCCCATACCTGCCCCAGGGAAAGGGGCACACAATTACTCACACACACAGTTACTCACTCTCCTTTGACGTGCCCGGTTGCATAGGCTGCCCTCCACATGTGACCCTGCAGCTGCTTCAGTGCTGTGGTCTTCCTGTCCAGGGACATCTGCCAGTGCACATTGTCTACAACTGCCTGGATGACCCGCTCCAGCTCTTCTTCCCCGCTCCCGCTCTCCAAAGGGATCGGCACGGCCCCGTCCAAACTGGAGTCCTCCTGAGCCTGGAAATCATCCATGATAAAAACAGGTGAGGGAAGAGATGGAACAGTCTCAACATCTCAGTTTAGGAAAGGGGTCTAACACCTGCATCAATCCACCTCTGCGTAGGGGACAGCTTGAACTGCCCTTCGTATGAAGGGTTACAACATTAATTGAATGCTTTTCTCAATGGGAAATTCAGACTTCAGTAGTGTCTAGAAACACTTGCTTGGACTGTACTTTCCAAAACCAACAATTAGCACTAATGTAGCTGTATTGTTAATACTCTAATGAGAATTATATTTGCTTAACTATTTAATTACTGAAATTAAGGCAAAGAAGCAAATGCATCCGTTGGCTTCAGACAGTCATAGGTCTCAAATTGATACTGTGTCCCTGTGCAGAGGCAGGATATGCTGCCCTGTGCAGGACAAGTACTCTGCCATCCCTTCACGCTGCTTCCCAAACAGGCACCTGGAAGCTGCAGCTGGTGGATTCAGCAAGGGCACAGTGCAGGCACAAAGCTGACAAGACATGGTTCAACCCCCACTCAGGGGCTGTGAATACCAAAGCGAGCTGAGGGAAGCAGTTGAGCTGCTGCCTACCAAGCACCAGCCCTTCCCCAAGCACAGCCTCAGGGGTTGGGTGGGGGACAATCAGCCCCTTGAGGCAACCAGCTTCTGTGGGGGGCAAAGAGAGATATGGGCTCATGTTGGGTGACTGGGGGAGACTGAGTGACCTGAAGTCTCAGGCATGCTGTGAAAAAACCAGACACACGGCATAGCTCCATTACTTAACCTGTTTCCTTAGAAGTCCGACGTCCTGCTGGCACTCCTCCTCCTCCCAGTGAGCACGCAGATACTCTTTCACATTGTCTTTGATGTAGGGGAACAAGGTCTCCTGGCAGCACACAAGAAAAACAGGCAGCTCCTTTAACCTGGCAGAGGTAAGGCAGCTTGCTTTTAAAGCAACTGTTTGCACATGCTGGTATGTACAGTTATTTTCTCCACTTGAGCTTCCCCTACCGTACTGCAGTTTGCAAAACTGCCTGCCAATGGTGTCTGCCTGGTTGCCGGCCAGAGCCAACCTTGGGCCAAGATTAGTGCCGGAGGATTCTTTGCACAAATGCTTATGTAGCTGCAATTTTTAAATCCCAGGATGGAAAGGTGGGTGATAACTTTTCCTGGGCTTGCCAAAAAAATGTCTCAAATGGCAGATGTGACCCCAAGTTCCCATCAGCTGAGGAGTACAAGGCTGACTGTGTACATACTCTGAACTGACAAGTTATACTACTCTATTTTTAATGGAGTGCTTCTCCTAACCAAGGTTGTTCTGAAAACACATCTCAACTTCTCACCGGAGCTAGCAGACCTTTTTAAAAAGAAAGGTCTAGCCCAGTGACACTGAGCTCCATAGGACATTCTTGCAAATGAAATGGGGTTAGGGAAAAGTGCCAGCGGAGAATTACAAACCTTCCTGGAGATCCCAAGGGCAACCAGAAGTAATTACAAATTGCTGTCATTAGTGGTGTTTCACAATTGAGAAGCCACAAGGAGCCACCAGGATGGCATCTCTGGGTGCAGGAAGAGCCTCAGGACAAGGGGAAGGGCAGGGAGCTCCTTCCTTTGGGTACAGAACCAAACTTTTGTTAACTGAAAAATTTGGGATGGAGCAGAGATGGGAGGAAACTAGACTGAGCTCATCTCTCCTCAAAAAATGGCCAGTGGTATTTTTCTTCTCACTGTATGTCACCTTTAACTTATTACTGAATTAAGGAAACAGTGGTCTTGAGAGCGTGATGTGGTGGCAGAACTGCAGGATTTTCTATTACTCCAATATTGCATTTTCCATGTTGTATATTTTTAAAACAATGTAAATTTAGAGGAAAGGAAAATCTCTTAAATGCCTAGAAAATTACCACAAACTTGTCTAAGGAAATCAACAGCCTTGTAATACCCCCAGTTACTTTCTCATTTCCTTTATTTGAGCTTAGTTGCTTTCAAGCTATCTTTTAAATTGTAGAGGAAATTAAAGAGTATCCACTGGGAAATGCAACCAACCCAGTGACTTGGTTTAACTTCCCTTACAAGTTGGATGTCAAAAGGTCCCAACTGCTTTCCAAAAGCAGTATTTCATGCTCTTGTGCTGGGAAAGAAAAACTTCCAAACAGCCTCCAAAAGCGCAGTGTATTCCATGATTCAGTGGATTTTAAAAGGATAAAAGCCTTGGCCCATTGGCAAATGCATCTGTCTGGTCCAAGAGGGGACACCCATGTGACAGCTGGAGTGGTGGACAGACAGTGGAACAGATGATTTACTGATGTCAGGAGTGATCCCAGGCAATTATGTACTATGTTTAAAAGGCCATGAGTTTGTGTGGAAGAAAGACTCCTTGCATCCTGCAAGGAAGTACCTCCATCACTGAGACTTCAGCTTTCAGTAAAAATTGGCAGCTGCAAACTCTTGAACAGGTTTAACCAGGGCTGTTACCGACCTTTGTAATTTCACCCGCTTCTCTTTTATCTTGGCTAGCAGGAGACCTAAGCCTGCCTGCTGTGCATAGCTCCCATCACTCTGTTCATCTCCTGTGCATGCTGAGGAGATGGGTGCTATCGCCCCACCACACCACACTGTCGGACAGCCAGGCTCCTCAGCGATGTCCAGCCCCAGATGTGGCTGCCCTGACACAGCTCGGCAGGATGGAGAAACAGCCATCAGCAAACAGCTTGACAGCCTGCCTAAGCCTTCGCAACTGCTCACAGCAATGTTAAACCCAGTATAGAAAGGGTGGTATTTTTACTGTGAGTAGACACCCACATAGCATGTTGTACTCAGCACTTACAAGATTTCAAGCAACCAGGGTCAATTTCCCTCTCAATGCCCATGCAAACTGTCACAATGTTCAGTGAAAATCTGCTCTTTTACAGGAGATCTGGCAAATCCCAGGGGATGTAGTTCATCAAATTACATCTCTCCCCTGCCATCTACTTTTCTCTGCCAGGGTGGACCTAGCAAAAGAGAAGACTTGGTGACCTCTAACTAGGGGTCACCAAATATTGTCTTTTCTGGTATCTTTCCTTAATCCACCCATTAACTGGCTCATCTTATTTCCTTACTTTGCATATTCAATAATTCTAATAATAAAGAAGGGATTAAATAAAATCCTTTAATATTAAAAAATAAAATGCCTGCAGAACCAAAGTGGACCTTTTAAGGGAAATAATAGAAATTATGGAGATTAACTGAAAGTCCAAGTGAAATAACTTGTTTAAAGCATTTTCAGGATTTCCAACAAACTGAGTTTTATTGAAAACTGTAACTCATTTGGCCTCCCTGCAACAGAAAGACTTTGAGTAGGAAACCATCCCAGGCGTATCGTACATTATTTGCACAACAGCAAAATGGATTCAAGGTGGATATATCCAACTTTGTTGCTCTGTTAGATATTTACTAAGAAATCCAAGCTGTTCAAACTGTTTAAATTGAAAGATATTGAGGGGAGGGATGCAGCTGTAATGCCATCTAGACCTGAAGTTTCTTCAAGAGCACTGAAAGAACACGGACAGAAAAGATGTAGGTCATGTTGTTCATCTGTCAAACTGTGTTACCAGAGACACCTAGAAAGCCTGGCAAGGCTTCTGCCCACCATGTAGGTCACAAAGCACCTTTGTAAACTACTGGAAAAAAAGATCCACCAAAAGCTATAACATCTCATAGAGAAATACGGGTTAATGGCAAGAATGGAATGATTCCATTCGACATCTTAAACACAAACAAACTGCTCTCTCCTGTGAAGCACATGAGCCTGGTTAGGGATGAAAACCTCTTGGAGAGGAGGCACCTGCAGTGATTGGAGAACTGCATATTTTAATAGCATATTTACAGTCATTTGTCCTGATGCCTCTTGCTGGCCTTACAGACTTCCCAGTCCCCTAGCTTCTGCACCCAAACCAACATTTTCAATAGCCTAAAGTCTTCTCCTAGGCAAGCGAAGCAAGGGAAGCCGCTTATATGTATTTGCTGTTAGTACAATCCTTTTAATGTACCCTTGATGACTCTCTGTGCTACCCTCTCCCTATACTAGTCCTGTGCATGCTGGAGGAAGGACATACGTCTCTGGTGACACCAGAGGCATCTGACTGTACCACCCTTTTGAAGTGAAAAGGCAGTGGATAACCCCAGGATAGTACTTCAGGCTCTCTGCAAACTCGGGTGAGGTCCTGCAGCTCCAGCCATCTGAGCAACAGTGATGCTCGAGGGCATTTCCTAAATGAGGCTGAGCGAACTCCAACTGCCCTATATCCATGAAAAAAAAATCATTTGCTGCACTTTCCTGGATCTGAATAGCTCCCTGTTCTCCTGCCCACAAAAGAGGCAGGCAATCGGTTAAAGGAGACATATTTTTTCATGAGCATTATTCAGAAAAACACAGAAAAATGTGTCACGCTTTTACGCTTCTGAAGGAAACTCGGGCCTGCCCTGTGCAGGGCTGCAGCGCTGGGAGAGGCGCTTCTTCCCCGCAGAGGGGCCGTGCCAGCGAAGGGGACTTGAAGTCACAGAAATCCGGCCGGCGCAGCGTGCCCGCCCCGGCTGCCAGGGTTTGGGGGGATCATGATAGTAACAGCGATGCTAACGGAGCCCCCCGGCAGTGCCGGCAGGGCTCTCGGCCGCGTGGGGAGGCC